TGTTTTTCTATCTTTGCTCACTAAAGACCTAAATATTGTCATATGTTAGTTTGACAATTTAATCAATTATATACCTATAATTGATTCAATATATAACTCTTGAAGCAAATTCTCATGAATCTCATTATTACCCCAATTATTCCAGCTAGTGGAATTATTGGGGAGATGAGAATTTACTATAAGCACTGTCCTTTGATGAGTTGAGTTCATAGCCTTGTTTTTATCTAAGGCCTGATCTACTAAAGACAGCCCTGGTAAGGGCAGTAGAGAAAGGACACCTGGAGCAAATCACAGGGACAGGAGCGAGAGGAACCTTCCAGGTAGATCTCCAAATACTCTAATCTCATCATGTTGGCATTTTCCAAAGGAAGCTATGGGGAAGAAAAAAATATGACTCATTGTTTTTCGTATACTTTTTTTTTTACTGTTGCTGTTCTATTATGCAAATATTGTCAGTTACATTTGTTCATGTCTCCTGAATCGTTTCCATCCCAGCTGAAGCGAGCGGCCAAAGAGTCTCAGCTGAAAGGCAGCACGTTGGAAGATGCTATCACGGTTGCGATCACAGCTATGAATGAGCCCAAAACCTGCAGCACTACATCCCTGCGCAAATATCTCGTAGACTCCAACAAGGACGTCAAGGAAAACCTGTTGGGTAAGTTCCTGTCTGTCCATGTTCACAATCCTTGAAAAGGATTACATGCTTAAATATTTTCATTGTTGGTGTGAATAATAAAACTAAAGCATTCTTACAGTAAATCCCTGCATAGATGCAGGTGAACTTAAACCAAACATGCATCTCCAACTTTGTGCTGGTTGCTGTTGGATTCTTCATGCATTCAAGGAAGACCTCCAGCTTCAGAAACATTATTACTGAAACCTTTCATAATATATCGGCATGTCCAGGCATGAGTACAAATGCCGGTTGACCGATCAGCCTCAAAACACGCAGAGCCAGTTTTAATCTGAAGAAATCCATTTTAAAGTGAGAATTGTGAGACTTATAAGTCTTTTCTCCTTTTCATTTTCTTTTTTTTTTAGAATTACATTACATCACTCAAACTCTTGCTATAGTGGACAACAAACTTAATTCCAGGTTTAGTTAGAACTTAAAGGCAACCTGTTACGTAAAATTAACATTTTGCACGATTTTGTCCTTCCATTTGGGTTTCTACTGCTTGGAAACTACTACTACTCCTTGTAAGAAAGAAAAATCCAATATCTAGCTCTGAAAACTATGTAAAAGTCTTTGTTTTTTTATATATTTTTTTTCCTCTGCCAAATAACTGCTTTAAATCTGGAGAAGCTAACACACTGCTTTTTACACTGACGAAGTGTAAAAAAACAAAACACCCACCTGTTTTTTTTTTTTTTGTTTGTTTTATGGTGTCTGAAAAAATGAGCGATTTCAAAAACCTTTGGAGTACTACATTACTAATTAACAGCCAAGGTGCAGCCTGAGCAAAGCCCATTACTCAGCAACTCAAGCTGAACTCCAGGACGTTTGGGCAATTGATATTATTTCTGCATGTGCTGAAAAAGACGAGTGCTTTGTTTTTGGCTGACCATTCCAAAGCCACTTTTGTTATTTGTGCAGAAGCCTCTACTTCTGCTTTTCAAAGATGTACGCTTATATAATTGCTCAATTGTTTGCAGCCATTTTTGCATGCAAGTGTAAAGAGCAAGTATGGTGGTGTGGCCAGCAGCAACTTATTTAAACATAAAGTGACAAGAGGCCCTGAAACGACTCATTCTGAATGGAGCTGAAATTAGGCAAAACTGACAAGAAAACTGAATGATTTTGTGCAAATAGAAATTAAAAACATGTCAAGCTAGTTCTATGTGATATACAAAACTTGTACTTGGAAGTATAATTATGTCACCTTTTTAAATAAAAATTTAAACAACCTAAACAGACACTAAATGGGAACTCTTTTCTTCAGTGGCCAATTTGAGGAGGACTCTGACGAAGTGTAAAGTTCTGGGCTGGATGGAGCAGATAACTGGTCACGGTTTCACAGGGACTTATCAGCTCTCGTTTCCATTTTATCCAAGGTAAACCACAATTTAAAAAATATAAAATAATCAATTATATTAACATGTACTGAGGCATAGTTTTTATGTTGTTGTTTTATTGTCATAGCCCTACCACCCTGTATCCAGACAAGTTTAAAGATGTTCCAAAAAAAACAATCAAGCAGAAGCGATTTACAGATTCTTCGGACGAAGAAGATGAGGAGGAGGAAGAGGAATCTGAGGAAGAAGAGTCAGAAGATGAGGCTCCAGTTCGCAAGAGGTAACTTTAAGTCAGAATGTTTTTATTTTGTCTTTATTTTTTTTCATAGTAAGATTACACTTTTTTGTTGTAGCATCTAACTCTTGAAATTACTCTTAGGAAACCTAACAAGAGGCCTCCACCTAAGGCTCGGCGCCCTCCACCAACCAAAAAACCCCGCATCGTCAGTAAGTCGAAGGCTGGAGGTAAAGGCCAAGCACTGGCAAAGAAGTCGCCTCCCAAGAAAACTGTGAGCTCGGGAAGGAACCCATCTAAAAAGGAAACTGTATCAACGCCTAAAGCAACACCTGTGAAGAAAGGAGCTCCTTCAAGAAAGTCTAAAACACCAGCTGTTAAAAAGCTAAGCAAAAAAGGCTCCAGGAAACCCCCATCCAGAGAGTCGTCCCCGGAGCCCAAAGTTGAAAAGGTGATGACAAAAAGTGGTTCCAGGCGGACAAAAGCAGAGGAGTCCATCCCTGAGGAGCCGAAAGTTGTAAAGGAGACGACGAAAAGCGGATCAAAGCGACCCAAAGTTGAAGACTCGTCCCCCAAGGAGCCTGCGCCCAAAAAGCAGGCAGCCAGAGGTGGGTCCAAGAAAAAGGCACAACCATCGCCTCCCAAGAAGGCTGACCTCCAAAAAAACCCGAAAAGCAGCAAACAGTCAGCTCGAAAGTCCAAGAGAGGAAGATACTGAACCCGTGTGCGCCTTCCAGAAACTGGGCTGTGCTGAACAGTCTGCAGCTTTGTTTCAACTCTCTTTATTTTTACCATTGTTTTCTCTGTTTTAGAGGGCTGTAGTTTTAACGTTCATTTTTTTGTTTTTTTACTGTAGAGTAAGAACATTATCTTAACAGTTACGTTAGCTGTGCATTGAGGGTGTTTTGAAGTACTTTTTTATTCATGATGTGTAGAACAGCTTGGTTAGTCTTGCCGTTTAAGCTGCCAGTTTGGGAAAGCATAGCAAAATTCACCATACTGTAACTAGAACCATGTCTTGACTTCTGTTTATGTGTTCATCCACTCAGTGCTGGTGGCTCAGATTCCTAATCCCAACAAAAGAGAGTTCAGTGTTCTTTCGAAGGCGGAAGTGTCGGATTTATTTTTTTAATTGTTATTAAGAGGTTAAAGACCTTAGACTGTCAGTGTTGCTGCTCTATAAAAGAGAGACATTTAGACTGTTGTCCAGTGTCTTAAACTCCAATCCTGTACAGGGTTGGAGATTAAATCTTATCCATATTCGTAATCTTTATATACTTTTGGGAACGTTTCATGTTCAACCAGCTGCCCTGTTGATTTAAATGAGGGGGAAAAAAGACTTAATATTGAAATCACAAATGAAATATGTCTATATGTAATCAAACATATACATTGGGGTTAATGGCTTCACAGCTCTTATTTAGTTCCAAATCATAATAAATTTGTGTTGTAAGAAATGGAGGATACCAGCTCACACATACCCTGCATGCATGTATTCCCTGTGTTATGCATTTTTTCCAAGTCATTAATAAAATGGCTATATTTGTAATCTGTTTGGTTCTTTTTGTAAGCTGCTTGGATCTGATCTTTGGGTATCTTTGAGCTGAAAAGATAATCTGTCTCCAGATTTGTGACCCAGATTTTAACTGTTATCCATGATTTTTGCTGAATCTTACTTATTTCACTTTATTTTTTTTAACTTGAACCTTGCATTCAACATAATATTTCCCTTAAGTGCAACAAGCCACACTTGTATGATGCAACTTGGAACATTATTCTAAAGACATTTCTTTTAGTAGTAGAAATGTCATTATTAATTCGATCATAAACTATTTAAAAATTTCCAGTTTCAAAATTTATTTCAAGGCAAAATACTTTTTTTATCATTATTAATCATTTTAAATGAGTAAAACAGTCCAACATTGTGTGACTTAAGTCATGTGTGTATAGATTAACTTGCACATACTCAAAACAGTTTTCACAGGCAAACTACCAGTTCAAGCAGATAATCATTTTAAGATTATCTTTAAAATGAAAACGCATTTATATATTAATTCATTAGAAATGATAAATTCTATTTATCCCTGTTAATTTTGATTATTTGGAGACTTATAAAGCATATAGTGAGTGACTCCCTCTATGGGATAAACCACAAAAGCTCAGCTAAAGAAACTGCTTAGCTGCACCCAAACATTCATGGAAGGAAAACTGCTAAAGGAAACGGTGTAGCATATTGGGAACAAACCCATTTAATCGTTACAACTGTCGCACTTTCTTGTCAAGCCACTCCTGGACCATTGTCAAAAGCATCTTACCTACACTGACGAGACAATGACTCAACTGTTAAACTGGTTCAAAGTCCTGTTTTCAGATAAGGGTCAAATTTGCATTTCATTAATAAAACGAGGAAAACAGGCATGTCCATAATGTGTCCGCATGGACCTCAGGAGCTGCAATCCTGACTGTGAGTCATACTAATGCATTTGACCAAAACAAACTTAAAATATGTCTGTCTATGATGATGCTTTTTTAAAATAACTGCAAAAATAGTTACCGTTTCGATGATAATCTAATTTTTAGATGGAGCAGATAACTGGTCACGGTTTCACAGGGACTTATCAGCTCTCGTTTCGATGTTTCGATGATAATCTAATTTTTAGATGGAGCAGATAACTGGTCACCTGAAATGCCACAAGCAGAAGCCAGAACATCATGGCTCTTTTGCCACTTGGGTGCGCTCCTGTTCTTCACAATTCAGGTTCATGTCAACGTAAAAAACAAACCAAAAAACCCACAGAAACAATGCAAGTCTCATACTCCAACAACATGAGGACCTTTGTTCGTTTGCTTTGCTGGTGTTTGGTTTGTTTTGAACTTTAGGTCATTTAGCCAAAACCCAGCAGGGCAGATTTGAGGAGGACTTGCTTCAATGTTTTTCATTGAACTCCTGAGTTTCGTGTTGAGCAACAAGCAGGAATGTGAGGAGCTCCCTGGGAAAGAATTTTCTATGAAGAAACAGCTGGAGGGCGGGGGTTTGACTCAGGCTGTCTTCTTCCGCCGTCTTCCATATCTTGAGAGAGAAAAGGTTCATTTTCACCCTCGTGCTCGCGGCCACGCCTCGGACCAGCTGCACACCTGGACCAGCTGCACACCTGGACCAGCTGCCGCAGCAGGTAAAGCGGCCCTCGGTGCGCCTGCTGTCACAACCACGTTCACAGAAGACGAAGACTGACATTCAGGTTCCTACTCAGAAACGTACGTATCTATTTTAAGTTTTTTCTTTTCGTTTTTTTGTTGTCGTTTTTTTGTTTTTTTTTTTTTTTTTTTTTGAGACAGCGGGTTGAAATTCAAGTCCAGACCTTTCAGTAAACTGAAGGGAAATTGCTCAAGTTTACACGCCACATTCCTGTGTTTTTCCTGGACACTTTGAGATGGACTTGGACAGCAATAACAAACAGTGAATGAAAGACAGAGAGAGAGAAAATCTGCAGTGATTAAAATTGTGCAAAAAAGGCGCAGAGAGCTCATTGATCTTTTCCCCTAACTCAGACTAACAGTTTGTAGATGGGGACAAAATCCGGATTTTAACGTGCTCAGCATTTAAAATCCCTTTGAACTGTTTTTCTAGGTGAGTTTTTTGTTGCTGGATAAAACAGGCAGCATGGGAGATACGCACTCTGCAGACGATGGCACGGTGACACGATCAGCAGAGGTATGAACACTCATCACCTGTACATGGAAGGACAATTATAGGTTTTCATAAAATTGTTTTTTCTCTGGGAAAGTATGTTGGGTCGTTTCTTGTGGATGACTGCTGCTTGGATGATCAAATAAAGCAGCTGCACACACAGCTGAAGTACTTAAAGGTGAGTCCTTTGCTGATAATTCATAGTTGTAAAAAGAAATCTAACGCAAAGTTTGTTGACATCCAGGGTTACAAGAAAAACAGGCCGGTAACCTTGAAGTTCTCACTCAAAGGGGTGAAGATCTATGATGAGGATGAAATGGTAAGTGTATTTTTTGTTGTTAAAAACATCCAGTATAACAACCTGCTTCAACTTCTTTCAATCACAGCTGATTTTTTTTAATAAGTCTTGACTAGATTTTTTTGGATAACTATCACAACCTGCATTGTTTCACATGTGATTTTAAACAAATTAGTTTCTGTTTCTGTTTGTCTGACTCTTTGATGTCTTCCTGGTCCAAAGACCCTCCTAATGGCTCATGCTTTGCGAAGAGTCTCTCTGTCCACCACCCGTCCAATTGATGCCCAGTTTGCCTTCGTCTCCCATAACCCAGGCAGCGCCTATGCCCAACTTTACTGCCATGTCTTCAAGGCAAGACATGCCCGAGCGGTAAGGAATCTCTTCAAAGTGGGATAATGAAATGTTGCTCTGTTAATTGTCTTACTGAAAAATTGTGTAGATGTGCTTTCAGCAATTTTATAACGGAAATGATCACATTTAAACTCCATTTTTCGAGAACATTATACATAATGTAGAAATGTAAACTACTACACTTTCCAGCATTTTGAATAACAAACAAAGAAAACTAGAACGCCCCAACAAATGTATTTGATCCCAGCAGGACACTCAAATCATTTTGGGGAAAAATCAAGTTCTAACACGCAACGGGGCATGTAGACTAACAATGTGCATGTCATATGATAACCTATGATAATGTTCTTTTACATAGAGAATGATTACACAGAGAGGCATAACCTATAATTTTGGAAAGAACATTATGTTACCCTGAAGGCGAAACATCTGAGGATCAGTTATTTTAACAAAAAGGCTACATTTGAAGGAAGTTTGTTTATTAAAAAAAATAAAAGATTTTATTTAAAAATGAGAAGGATCTTAAAAATTGTGCAAAATTTGACATTTAGAAAGAATGGACATACAGTTGAAGCCAGATATTTATATACACTGTCTGAAAACACACAACCCTTTTCCCTTACTTTTTTAACATAACCAGCCTTAATTATACCATTTTAGGTCAGCTCGGATTACCAAAACTATTTAAGAGTTTATATACAGTTAGCTTACTATGCTGCTAAACATTCTGGGAAAGCCTTGTGCTTGGTTATGGCTTTATAATCTTCTGGATTTCATTTCACAACATTTGAGTAAATTGGAGCAACACCTTTGGATGTATTTTAAGACAATGTCTCAAACACCATTTTTTCTGGTGTGAGATCATCTAGGAATTAGACAAGATATCAGGAAGATAATTGTGGATAGCCACAAAGTCTGGTTCATCCTGGGGTGCAAATTCCAGATGATTTTAGTTGATCCATTCAAACAGTTTTATCCAAGTATAAACAATGGTTTTATCCAATTGTATGATGTCTAGCCGTCCTACCATTTAGGGAGGAGATGGGTTCTGTATTGTAGAGATGATTGTGTTTTAGTGAAATGCCACAGTTACATAAGTTGGGTAGCAACACCGACTAAAACATCACTCAGAGAGGAAGAAGCCAGTAATTTAAAAAAAATTATAAAGAGTCAGTTCAGAGTTTACAAATTTGGAGATATTTCCTGTGGTATAATGAGTCTAAAATTTAAGTATTTGAAAAAGAGGGACGTTTGAAAGATTGAGTGAACTATGCCAAATGTGATGCATATGAGTGTCGGCATCAGGTGCACTTCACAAAATGAATCAAACCATGAAAAAAAATAATATCTCAAGGCAATGACCCTGAATGTTCTGCCATATTAGTAACAAATTGGTTTAAGGATGGCAAAGTCAATATTTTAGAATTATGATCAGTACTTTTATTCCAGAGTGAAAACAATCATCTTCTACCATACTAAGACAAGAATCTTAAAAATAAAGTTCCAAGACCACTGCTGTCTGTCTTTGGGAGCTTTGTTTCGGTTTTAAGCCAGCAGCACTGGGCATTGTAGAAAAAATTGCTGTATTTTTTTTTGTGGTCTGTTAGTTTCTTCCAATTTATAGGAAAGATCGTGCACTCCTCTCGCAAAAATGTGTACATAAATTAGTTTGACTAAAATAAATATATTTTTAAGATCAGTTTGGCATAAAAAAAATATCCTGTTAACCTTCCTGGCAAAATGGTCAGAAATTGTTTCAATATTGGCAGCATAACAAGATATGTTAATAGTTTTATTGTGGTAATATAAAGTGATTTATCGAAGAACCAGGTGATTGATATAATTTTGTGGTGTGCAGTTTCTTTCTGCATTATATGAAGTCACTTTGCTACATTTGGCTCCTGAAATTGTATCCGATTAACTCATGAGCTTTTCATTGCCTTCAATGATATTGCTGATATTGCGCTGTCTGCTAACTAGAATTAACTTCTTGTACTTTCTTCAGATGCGTCAAAAGTCCTGTTCATAGCTTTACATAAAACTACTTTCTCCCTGTTCTCCCTCCAGGTTAATTTCAGGAGTTTAGAAATTCTGCAAAATAGTGTTGAAATTTTGTTACAAGTTATAAGCTGGAGGACCAATTTTAAAATTTTCTCTCTCCCTTATTTTTCACAGGCCCAGTTCTTGAATTTGCTGCTCTGCCGATGTTTCCAATTGCTTTATTTGGAGAAGCATCCAGAAGAGGCACAAGAAAGCTCCAATGGGTCATTGCCTCAGCGTAATCCTTCGCTACTCAACCACGGCTTCCCTCTTAGCGTCAGTGCTCTAGTTTCCTTTAGAAGAGCTCCTTTTCGAGGACTGCGGCTAAGCACAAAGGTTTGGAACCTCAACTCTTTCATCTTTCCACCTATTAAACATTTAATTAAATTCTGTAGTGATTGTATCTGAATTTATCTTTTGATAGATTTGTGCATTGTTTGAGACATTGTTTCCAAAGATCTAAATTTGCTTAAAATTCTATTTACTTTTCATAAAATAAAGCTTGGTTATATACAATGCACAAGGTTAAAACAACAAATTGCATCCTGGTTTCGGTGTCTCCAATTTTAACAACATGCACTAGATGACTTTCTTTGGTTTGTTTTTAATGTAGAAATCTAAGAAGTCGTCCAATGACGTTCCTGACAGCCAAGACGATGTTTTTTCCTCCTCCTCTCCCTCACTGACGCGGAAGAAAGTCATCCGCGCTAAAGGACTGCATTCTGGAGCTTACCGCTCCTTCACTTTCACGCCACGCAAACAGCGCAGCGTTCAGGAGCAACTAAGTGTGTCACAAGGTGGGCCAAGAGTTCACAGAGCGCTATCAAGAGTCAAAGAAATGATTAGGTAAAGCAGACTGTTTGGTGTCATGTGCAGGGCTGTTACTCACTGTTGTGGTGTGGATGATGAGCTTACACATGGCTTAAACATTTCTTCAGAGTTTGTCACGGTTTGGTTTATATTCACAAATGTTACTGTTAAAAATGGACACACACTGGCTGCCTTCCAATACTAACAATTCCCATGGAGTGTCTTTCTTTTCCCTCCGTTGGAATAAAAGGGAAATTCAAATTGATCACACATTTTCTTCTTATATTTGAAACAGAAAAGGGTCAAGACACAGTGCCAGTAAGGAGATCCCGGGCTCCAAGTTTAGCCGAAACAGAGGAAGCATTGGCTCAGGCAGTTTGGAGTTGGGCTGGTCTCACAACGTAAGTATATCAAAGTTCTTTAAGTATCTTGCTTTCAGATTCCTTTATGTTGGTAATGCCTCAATGTTTCAGTGGGGGGGTTTTTTCTCTGCGGTTGCAGTGACAGCAGCTACTCCCTCCTTGCAGATGATGTCATGGGATCATACCTTCTGTGCCCTCATCCTAAAAAACCTAAAAGTGGTTCCCTTATTGTTCGCTTCCCCTCCGGCCTGACCACCCACCTTATAGAAAACACTCGTAAAGGGAAGTTCAAGTTGGAGGTAATCAGCATAACACATGGTCACTACACTTGTTTGCCAATAAAAACTACACAGTTATACAGTGCTAAACTATTGATAAATGTATACAATTGCATAATAGTTACAGTGCCATGAAGAAGGATTTTATTCCCCATAGACTTTTGCTATTGATCAAAAAAAGCTGCACAAGATGATAAAGAAGTGTAGTTCTGTTATGGGACTGCTCTGAAGCAATGAAAAAATGGCTCATAAAAGGAAGAAGACAATCTATAAGTATGAGCAACTTTGTATTTGGAGACTTTAGGAACTGATTAATCTAAAATTTTAGTTGTAGATTTGCTGCTGTGCATAGCACTGTCTTGTTGCATGACCCACTTTTAGCTACCAAACAGCTGGCCACAAATTTGACTTTAGATTACTCTAGTATACAGAGGAGACTATAGTCAATAAATCACTGCAAGGCGCCTAGTAATGTTAGCAAAAAAACACCAACCCCTTGACCCACCTACTGTGCTTAAAGGTTTATGTTGTAATTCTGTTTAGTGTTAATTACCACGGTGCCACCCATTATTTCCCATTATTTCAGTTTTAAAAATCCAAAAGTCTTAAAGTTTGTTTGCTACATGTAGCCCTCAACTTTTAAAAGAATAACTTTTAAAATGTCATATGTAGTTCTTCATCTGAGAACTGTAATTTATATATTTACATGCTCAAGCGAACTAGAATTTTGGTTTCCTGTGTACAATGTTGCAAGCTTATAGCATAAAAAGGAAAATAAGAATTTCCCTTTTCATGCAAAAAGTTGTCAAATGTTTAAAATAAATATTAAAACCTACACTGTCTAATTTTAATTGATTTTTGTGTTTCTTTGATGCAGAAATGCAGGAGAGAATTTCATTCTCTTGCTGAACTCATTGAATACTATTCAGTGACTCCAGATGAGCTGCGTTGTCAACTGTGCTGTGCACGTGTGAACCACTGTTATGAGTGGGAAGAAAATACCAACACACAACAAGCTGCAAAACCATACAAAAACTCAGCTAAAGCCAGAGTTAAAAGTTCTCACTGAAAGGGAAAGGCAATAAACCCTGAGGAATTAGCTGACAAGATGAGACGATTCAAAATAAGAGAATCTATTTCTTTTGCACATTTTTGTTTAGCATTTTCAGATGGTACATTGGGTATATTTCACTCTCTAAAACATAATGCCCTTATTATCAGTGTTGGCACATGTCTTTGCTTTTGTATGCACCAGATTCCATCAGGGCAGCTTATGTGTCAGAGATAACATTGAGTGCTTGCAGCTTTTATGTAAAGTGAAATTTTAAAGTATTTTGACATGCCTGTAAGACTTTTGACATTGAAATGTTTTTAGATGTACCCATTTCAAGTGTGGATTTTATGGCTGGGTCTTGCCTTTTCCTCAACCCCCCAAACCCCAAATCTTCTAAAGATGTTACCTGAGTACATAACCATGTTTTACTCTGATTGTCCTTAACTTGTCTAAATATTACTCTGTGTTTAAGAGATTGTATATGATGATGCACTTTATTTACAGTCCATCATAGTGTGTGCAGTTTAATGTAACAGAGCTTAGAGCAAGATTGTCTATGGTGATGGAAGATTTCTAGTCTATGACCAGTCAGCATACATTTTTTTATCTCCATTTTACAATAAATAATGGACTCTCTTTTTAGTCCACATCTCAGTAAAATATGTGTCCTATTATTTATGGTTCCATTTTTTTGCCTTGAATTACATGACTTAAATGCAGCATTTTATTCAACATTGGATTATAAATCAACATTGCATTTTCTTTTTTAATGTTTGACAACAAAAAAAAAGCACCAGGTTATGTTTACAACAGTAAAATAAGACTGTTGACTTAATTTTTGATGCCATAAAGAAGTTCTTTTTTTTTCTCTGAGAAGCAAATTATAAAAGAATAGTCATTTTGATTTCTTGTTTCAATGGGTATAAATACTTCAGATTAAGCTAAAGCTTCAAAAGTTCAAAGAGTTTTTCACTAATGCTCATTTGTGAGCATTACTGCCAAATTAGTAGATATGTTTCCAACAGTAAATCTCTTGATTTGCATTGTGGTAATCAGTTCGTATTTGTTTATTTGCAACTTAGATTGACATTTGAAATTTCCCACAAATGACAACGTCAGAACAGTCAGATTTTAATTCATTTATAATTCTAATAGTTTCTCTAAGCATTTGGAGTAAGTGATTCACTTCCTCCAAACTGTTTGAATTCAAATTGAAAATTTAATTTTTTTTTAAAGTTTTCTTTTAGAAGTTACCTAGAAGGTTTACTTTAAAAATATACAAGCTCATGGTCCATTTTTCTTCATCTATGTTCATGGTTTTTGTCTTCAGTTGTACAAATCTGTTATGTCGTGATGAACTTGATCAACCAAAAACAACTCCCTCCAAAAAATATTTCAGCTAAGAGATTCACTTTCTCCAATTGCTGCAAAGGTTGGAATATGAGCCAATTTCAGTTATGGCAATATCCCAAGAAACTGGTAGAAATTATTTTTGTGATTAATAGGCTTGGTATTAAACAGCTTCTCAAATGTTCTTGAATTACCCCATCATCAATACCAACAAAACTCTTGGTATTGATGATGCATTTTTAGACAAACTGATAGAGAGGATGCAATTGACAGAAGGCAAATGTCAGCACACCAAATAGACAGCCCATAAAAGATAATCAGTAAGACAACGTTAATCAAATAAATATTTCGCCTTTGCTTTTACCATTTATTCCGCGATGTGAAGATCCAAATTTATGATTTATAAATCATAAATCTTCTGTCTTCTGTATTTGCTCATGTGATATTTCTCATGTAAAACCTACATAGGTCAAATTTATTTATTTTTTTACATGTAGGGTTTCTGAAATTTGTACCACACATTATGACACCAAAAACAACCAACAAAATACCTGACCTTCTCTTTTGTCTTAAAATAAAATCAAGGCAAAAATAATTTCTAATTAACTGTCTGTCTGATTGCCTTTTAGTAATTCTGGGGAAAGAAGAAAAGGAGCATTGAGAGAACGTCTAAGATGTAGTTCTAAAATGAATTTTAAAGTATTGTTAGGCTTCTTTAAGTTAAACTTAAAGAACTTACAGATTTGTATTGTTGCACTCACGAAACAGACAGGAGTCCTTCTTCAGTTTCGGCCACTTTATTTGCCCCACGCTGTGTGTATTTTATTTCAGAAGCAGCCGGAAACAGAGGAACAGAAAACCGTTACGAAGTTTCTTCTTTTTCAGAGCTACGTTACAACTGACCAACTGACAGTACTTCCGCTACCCAACCAATCAGTGACGTAGCACCAGCTCAGATTCTGTTATGCTTCTCCGACTGAACAAAAACAACTGAACAAATAAAATATATTAAATAGAGTGTTGTATCCAGAAACGTTTTAAAATAGTAATAATTTGAATAGAATACTTTCAGGATGCAACAGTATCCTTTCTTTTTTCTTAATTTACCAAGATGGCCGCCAGTTTAGGCCGCTTTGACTCGGATTGGGCCTTTAAGGTTGCTAGGCAACGTTACAACGCTATCCAGAGAGGAAGACCCGAGACGTAGAAGCAGGAGATCCAACACCGTTTCTGACGAGGTCAGCAGGTGCATAAATCTTCCGTCTTCTGTATTTGCTAACCTCTAAGTAGGGAAGAAAATTGTTAATATAATTCTTCAGTTAGTCGTCGAGTCTTGTTGCTTCTGACTTTTATTAAGTATCTATGTTTTCATAAGACCTAAGCTTTTCCTCTCCTCAGTTAGCAATAACTGTTTCTAACCCCATTGCCACCTGCTGTGAGGTGGATGTTCAACTATGGGTTCAGAGTCAGTTAAGGTGGTGGTGAGGTGCAGGCCGCTGGATGACAGGGAGAAGGCTCTCGGCTGTAAGTTGGTTCTGTCCATGGATGTCCATCGGTGCCAGTGCTTCATTGAAAAACCAGGGACAGTGGATGAGCCACCCAAACAGTTCACTTTTGATGGGACCTACTACATTAATCAAACTACTGAGCAGCTGTACAACGAAATTGCCTATCCTTTGATTGAGGTAAGCAGCCATAAATGAATAATGAATAACAGCCTTATGTAGGCCACATGCTTGTTACTTGATACTCTCAGTCTCCTTACCTCATGATTGCATCAAAGTCGCAACTGTGTTTTGATCCTTTAACACAGATGTATTTATGCAGGGTGTTACTGAGGGATACAATGGCACGGTTTTTGCCTACGGGCAAACCGGAAGTGGAAAATCTTTCACCATGCAGGGGGTGTCTGAACCTGCAACTCAGAAAGGTGTAATACCACGAGCTTTTGAACACATTTTTGAGAGCATTCAGGTATGGTGGAAAACTCTTTTCTTTTTTTTTTTAGCTTTGTCTCAGATTTAGTTTGTAGTTTTACTCTTTCCTATAACAACAAACAGGGTCACTAGGCATGTATGGAGCACACTTGGTTTTAGTTATTGTCCAGACTTGCCTAAGCTGTGTTTGCTTAGGAAGAGTAACTGTGCTTACTATTTGTGTGCAAGACAGTGCGCTGAAAACACAAAATTCCTTGTGAGGGCCTCGTACCTGGAGATTTACAATGAAGAAGTAAGAGACCTTTTGGGAAGTAACACCAAACAGAAACATGAGGTTTGTCTTTTTTGTTTTAACAAATTAGTGCATATATTTTAAACATTTATTCCTGTTGTGATGGTTATTGTTTACACACAATAAAAATTACTGTCATGGGGAAGATTGCTGACTTGACATTATCCAGCAGATAGTCAATTACACTACGACTAGCTGGGTAAAAATGCCATTGCTTTAGAAGCTGGTTGTTTTAAAAGATTGGTATTCACATATGTTATTGGAAAGTTGATTGGAAGAAAAAATGCACTTAAAAATTGTATTGTGGGAGCATCTGAAATATCCACATTGTGGTTGTGAAGCAAAGCTAGCTAAGGTTAAATCTTATCCACATCATCTGTTCCTCATATCAGTGTGTCCTGAACCAATTGCAATATTAAAAACATCTTACCTGCAGCTAGTTAAGAATTGAACTGTTGTGTCATGGTGCAAAGTGCTCTTTATAAAGTCAATTTAGCATTTTTTAAAATTGAATTTATTTCTCATTCCATTTCATTTGTTGATGACCTCCATGCTATGAAAAACACCTACACAACAACAACAATGAATGAATTGAATTTATTTTTCAATTCAATCAAAACTCACCTGGACCAAATATATAAGGGTACTTCTCAGTAGGCCCAAATTTCTTTATTAAAATATATATATTTTTTACTGGATTTGTAAGCCATAATCTGCCAAATTATTAAGCCCCTAATCATCAAATCATCTAATTTTTAAAACAATCCCTGAAATAAAATTCTGGTGATATTGTAATTCACTTATATGTACTTATAATTTTAAACAATTTGCTTATTTGTATCTTGATATATATGCAAAACACTTACTGCTCATGTTGCCATAATAACATGAACTGAAGTCTTTTTGAAGAGGTCAAGGTGTTTTAACCCTCTCCAGGCAGATGTTGCAGATTTGCAACAGCTAAATGCTACTTTGCTAGTCTTTGCAAGTAATTTGAGCCTGAGAGGGTTAAGGGGATGATGGAATTGTATTAAGTGTGTGTTTTTATTACGCCGTTTGAACGGCTAGCTGAAAGAGCACCCGGAGCGGGGGTTGTATGTGCGGGACCTCACCATGCACACGGTGCACAGCGTAGGGGAATGTGAAAGAATCATGGAGCAAGGCTGGAAGAACCGGGCAGTAGCTTGCACGCTGATGAATAAAGACTCCTCCCGCTCCCACTCTATCTTCACCATCCGTTTGGAGATCTGTAACACTGGTAAACATGCAATCATTTATACAAAGACTTTGACTAAGCCCTGTTTCATTTGTGTTATTTTCATCTTACTTTGCTGTTGTTCATAAACATTCATTTTTCAATGCTGTGGCGTGATTTTAAAGTTGCTTCACTAGTTCATTATTGTTTGAAGACAGATAACTTTTCAGTTTTTTTGTTTATTTATTTTTTTATTTTTTGTTTTTATCATCAAAATATTCAGATGCAGCCGGTCAAGATCATATACGAGCAGGCAAACTTAACCTTGTGGATCTGGCAGGAAGTGAGCGTCAGTCTAAAACTGGTGCCACCGGAGAGCGACTCCGTGAGGCCACAAAGATCAATCTCTCCCTCTCAGCTCTGGGGAATGTTATCTCTGCCCTGGTGGTTGGCCGCTCCAAGTACATCCCCTACCGGGACTCCAAGCTGACCAGACTGCTGCAGGACTCTCTTGGAGGAAACACTCGGACATTGATGATCGCCTGCCTCTCACCTGCTGATAACAACTATGAGGAGAGTCTGAGCACTTTGCGCTATGCAAACCGGGCCAAGAGCATCCAGAACAGACCTCGAATCAATGAAGACCCCAAGGATGCTCTGCTGCGAGAGTATCAGGAGGAGATCAAGAAGTTGCGAGCCCTCATCTCAGGCCAGCTAGGTATCTTAATGTAAAGCTAGCCTTATTACAGAGCTGCCGTGCCTTGTAAAGTTTTTTTTTGTTGTTGTTGCTACAATTAAATGTTTCAGATTGTGAAATTTTTATATCAGGCAAAATTAACCTAAATATATCAATGACAAGTTAACCCCTTACAGAAAAAAG